AGTATTCTTCAAGCATCAAGTGCGGGCAGCTATGTAACGGAGTCATGAAGTCATACAACCTTCTGATCCACTCAACGTGTTTTTTTGTGGTTATCTTGTCTGAGGCTCCACTTTGCCATGTTGACAACCATAGGATCATAAATTTTGTGCCGTTTCTGCGATGAAAAGGGGTTTCACTTTCTGATATTTTATTCATCACTCCACCATAAGGAGTCCAGAGTGCGAATGGTGCATCTTCTTCCCAAAATCTTTTCCATATCCCTACAAGTGCATATTCAGGGATGGGTTTTTTTACACAGTTTGACTTGGCTTCGAAGCAAGTCCTGGTGTATGATGACTTCCCCTGAAGCAAAAATGCAGGCGGTACATTCATCATTAAGCTGGCAATGTACACAGTGATTTAATCCAGCTCATTTCAATAGAGTCTTCTTTTGCCAATCCCAGTTCAGGAAAGCTTTTATTCATTACTAGGAGGAGCATGTCAGCTCCTCCAAGGAATAAAGCATTGTAAGCAGTTTGTATAGTCCTCTTTATGACGACTCTAAGGAATGGACCTTGCCATCTGTAAAGCAATTTGGTTGCTCTTGTTCCAAAGTTCTTGGAACAGTGAAAACTGTTACAATTACCGGTATTGGAACCAACCGTGGTATCCAAGCAAGGAGAATTCTAAAGCTGCCTCCTCTGATAGCCCAAAACAGATCCTTTCCCATAGATGACCGATCAATAATGATTTTTCCGTTTGCATCAACTATTCGAGCATCAATCGCATTATCAGACCCAAGGCCACATTGCGCTTCTCCTGTTATGTGTCCCCCAACTCCTAAGCTCATGCAAAGGCAAGCAGGAAAAGCATGAGTTTTGCTTTTCTGTGCAATCCTATAATAAACTTCCCCAGTTGTGCACTACTGTCATCTATGCTAATGTTGATGGATCGAGGTTTGGCCAGATCGATCAATATAGATAGTGATTTACTTTCACAAGTGTAAGAGAGGCCTTCATAATCATGCCCTCCACTTCGGACTCTAAGCTGAATGCTAGCTTTTTGGCACAAATAACCGCTGATTGAACATGGGATTCAGCCAATGGTGAAAAAGCAAGATCAGGCTTGGGCTTGGATGGCCAAGCACCTCAGGTTTTGAGCAGTAGATCGGAGAACTCAGCTAAATGAAGCATTGTTTGGCGTTCAACAAGAGTTAGAGAACTGTATCGAAGGTTCAACATTGTGATTAACACAATGATAAAATTTATACAGAGTTGAATCTTGAAGATGCCATCTTCTTGAAGTAACTTGAAGATGCCATCTTCTTGTATTTCCTATGCTTTGTGCTCAGTCTAGGAAGGCTTGCTTAATATAACAGTTTCAAGAATACTGTCCATGACATCTTTTTATCTCAACAGATTTCCTTAACAAATTTGAGAAGCCTACTGAGGACAAAAGAAATAGGTATGGTGATAGAGGATTACCTTGCTTGATTCCTCTCTTAGGTATTACATGTTTATGTGGTTCACCATTTATATTGAAGAAATAGGTAACAATTGTCAAGCAACTCATGATCCACCTTCTCCAAGTGCCGCATAAGCCCATTTTGTCCATCACAACCTCTAGAAAACTTCAATTTACTATGTCATAGGTTTTTGACATGTCTAATTTAACTGCCATGTACCCTTCTTTCCTGTGCTTTTTATTTTTCATGAAATGGAAAATCTCATAGGAGATGATCAAGGATTTACCTTCTAGGAATAAAGGTAACTTTGGTTTTTACTAATGCAAAAATTCAAAACATTCTTGAGTTTGTTGGCTAGAATTTTAGAGATAACTTTATACATAACATTCCAAAAATGATTGGCCTATAATACTTCATATCAGTAGGAATAAGGACCTTAGGGATGAGGGAGATCATTGTATGATTTATGGACATTAACATGAAGCCAAAGTGAAAAAAGGAACCTATTGCTTTAAATAGATAAGATTAATAATATGCTAGAATTTTTGAAAAAAGAGGAGTCATTCCATCAAGACTTGGAGATTTATTAGGTACTAGGGAATTGTCAAATAAAGCTAAAGATTGTAGGGAATCAACTTGCATATTGTTAGACATGAATACCCATGCAGCATTCTCTTCTTGATTTCGGTGATCGCACCAGACTCTCCAGCACTGCCATTTGATTAACCTGATTACTTTCTGTATTATTTCAAACTTGGAACATCTTTAGTCTTCTTTTATGGTACTTTTTTCTTTTATTTCTTCCATGTCTCAACTCTCAATTTTTTTTTGTATTATTTCAACTCTCAATTGTCAAAAGTTTCTTTACTTGGTTTTCTTTATTTGTTAAAGCATATTAAGAGAGGAGGCTCGGTAGGTTTTGGACGAATTCTTTCGAGTTTATTATAGATAATGTCATGGCATTATTATGTTTTAAGCTATAAAGTGTAGGGATTATAACCATTGTGACATGTATTTTAGAGATTACAAATTACATGTCAAGAGTTTGTGGCGTGTCTATTAAAAAAGTATAGTGTTGATAAAAGGATTTGACTGTGGACCAATATTAGGTTAAAATTTTTTCTTTAAATTTTTTCCAACAGCAGCAGAGGGATGAAACTTAAGAAGCATGAGGGTAGGAGTGTGATGAGGGCTAGGAATTTTTCTTCATAGTCATTAAGAAAAATAGAAGAGAAAAGAACCTGTGTTTTTTTGTTCTTAGCTACACTAAGGGTGTATTTGATAAAAATGAAGTCTGAAAATTGAAATTTGAAATTTGAATCCACTAAATTATTGAATTGTTAAGTATTAAATCTGATACATTTTGAGTGTATATCACATTAAGTGATAAGTAAATAATTTATCATTTATTTTTGGGTGCAAGTTTTGCTTGGGAAAGTAGTGTTATTTAATTAATTCAGATGTTCAGTTTTTTGTTATCAAACGAGTTTAAACATATTAAAATCTGAATCTATTAAATTTAAATGTTGAACTGAATTATCAAACAAGACCTAAATTAATTCGCTGGACACTCAAGTTATTGGTGAAAGGATGGTCCACACTTGGGGATTTGGAGGCCATAGGGCATGGTTCGAAGTCTCGGCCGAGTCGTCACCGTCTCGGCCTCTACCGATACGATACCGTGACGAAACGATACCGAAATACTTGACTCGCCGAGAAATCGGCCGAGTCGTCACCGCGACAGATTGACTCGGCCGAGTCACACCGAGTCACTCCGAGTTATCCCGAGTCAAGACGAGAAATCAGCCGAGTCACACCGTGACGGATTGACTTGACCGTTTCTTTTGCTATTTTTTAATTATTTTTATTTAGCATACTTTTTTATATTATTAACAATTTTTAGAATATTAAATACTTTAAAATTTGCGTCTCACCGAGACCGCGACCGATATGCCGAGACCGATATGGAACGTTCCGACCCGCGACCGCAACCGCAACCGTGACTTTGAACCATGCCATAGGGTGGTGGGGGTGGGAAAAGAGGAGGGGGGTGCCAAGAATGTGTGTGAAATAGTGTAAATGACTCTAATAGTTGCTTAACTTTTAAGGTTGATCTTATTTGATCTGCCAACTTATAAAGTCAATTGTAGATGGTACATCCAACCTAGATCTAAGTAAAAACAACTTAATTTTTGTCCTTAATTCTGACATCTATAATGTGTGCTTTTCCTACTAGTTTTTATATTAGAAGCCTGACTCCATTGCTTCAGGAGAAAAAGGAAACTCAAGAACTGAAGATAGATTCAGGATCTTCTATTGGGAAACTTCTCCCTGAATTTGAGGGCAAAGGCGGGAATGAATCTAGGCACACTTGACCATATAATATAATTCGCACCTGACTAATACTCTGTTTAATAACCCAATTCAACATTTAAAATTAATGAATTCTGATCTTAATATATTCAAGTACGTTTGATAACCAAAAATAGAATATCTAAATTAATTAAGTGACACTAAATTTCCTAAACAAAACTTACTCCCAAAATTAAATGATAAATAAATAGCTTCACTTATCATTTAATGTAATATACACTCAAATGTATCACATTTCATATTTAACAATTCATAACTTAATGAATTCAAATTTCATATTTCAATTTTCAAACTTTAATTTTATCAAATGCATCCCAAATTCTTGTTAACTGCTGTTACAAGGTTATAGCTACTCTGTGTTACCAGTCCAGAACAGACACTCCCTGCAAACAATAACATTTTCAATTGTTGGGAATTTTGCGTGAAAATTACTATATTCCCTGTAGCATTAAGTTCATCCATTACATGCTCTGCATATTTCTCTGCAAGAATAGAAAATGAGGATGTTCTCATGAAGACAGAGTTTTGAGTCTCCTGATCTAACCGTTAGTGCTGCCTTTCTGTACATAAGGTCTTTCCAGGAACGATAAAACCTGATATTGGCATTGCCACCAAAAGATGGAAAAATTCCAACCCGCAGAGAATTGGAAATTCAGCATCTCTACCAAAACCAATTCGCCCATTAACCCAAAAATTCCAACTTCTAAGCAGTGCTGCGCTGTTTCTCAAGATTCTGAGATTCTGCTTAAGGTCCCGCTCAGATGGCAAAGGGTAAAAGGGAATGAAAGCTTCTCTTCTTATTTTGCTAACATTCCACACCATTGTCAAGGTTCATGCTACAAACTACCTCAAATGATCCCGATCACCGTGTTGTACTACGAAGAAAATCGGCTAACTTGCAAGTCACTTCTACATTTCTACATCTAATTCATGCAGTGTAGTAATATACCATTGCCTTAGGGAAAGGTCACAGTGGCTCTGCAATGGACAAATATGTAATCCTCCTTATGGACAGAAAAAGAAACTATGGAAACTTCACTTCCCGAATTACGTCATACTGCACTTGCAGACCCAATTCCATGTTTGTTTCATTATTAACCGCAATAATGCGAAAGGAAATAGTGCTTGTTTTTTAATCAAGTATCGGACATGTACCTGAAACCACAACCAGCACACCTGCCAGGAATAAACCAAAATACCATATACCATATACACAGAGGCGCGCACGCGCACACACAGAGACTGTGAATTAGGCAAATCTCATATACTAGATATCAACCACACAGGAAAGTGTGTACAAGTTTTAAGGTGTAGAGTCAATAAATTTCCAAGTTCCAGGATTATGTAATCTAAATCACCTTAGAACCACCAATTCCCTGTGGAACTAAAGGATTCTCTATTCCTGAATATTCAACAATCAAGTAGATCCATTTCGCAATTCTTACGAGTCTCCAGCCTGCAAATTTCAAAACATATGATAAAAAGTTACAAGTTCAGATTCAGAATGGTTGGATGCTTAGCATTTCAGAAATATGGTAAACTACAAGAAACCTCCATATACGTGTGCCTGTGGCTAATCCAAAACCACGATTAGAAACATTTATGAGAGGCAGAGATAAAAAAAAAGTCTCAATAGAATGCAGACAGAAGTATAGGTAGCACTAGAACTGCGAATTGGTTTGCTGAAGATGCAGAACACCCCTAAATGCAAATAAATATGCGCTTGGTGCATATAACAAGGACAATTAAAAAACAAGGGATCAATGAAATACACGTCTTGAGATGTCCATAGTCATAAAAAATATGCAAGTCATAGCACTTCTAGGAGCAAATTTATAAGAAAAAAGAATGCCTAACATATTCAGAGATAATTGAACAATATGCCACCTGTGATTGTTTGACTTGTAAATATCAAGAATTCCATGTTGAAATAATCAGCGTTAATCTTCAAAGTCATCCAAGAGTTTAACTGGCAAAAACCTAGTTTAGAAATGGCCCAGAAAACCAAGACACTTGCCTCAGAATGAGAGCTCATTTTTGCTGAACAGGATGCAAAAGAGTCTTCATGCTCCTCTTCCTAATCAACATTAGAAGTCTACACTGCCATTTTCATATCTATTTTCTGGTGAGGATCATAACCTAGGAGAGTAAAATCAGCAGGCACAAAAGACTCTATATCTTTCTTCTGAGGATTGATTTTCAAAATCTGCAGACAAACGTCATTCAAAAAGTACCAGAAAGACAAAGATACAAGTCAGCAAAACACCCATTTTCTGAATCTTTATCCCAAGTTAACAATACACTTGAGGGATAAACGCCTGCGAGTATTATCCCATACATGTGTGATGCTTACTGGGAAGGGTTTAGGTTGTTTTTGAATTTGATCCTGCAGAGGTCTGATGTGTGTGCGATACACATGTGCATCCCCAATAACATGGACAAAATCGCCTGGTAAAAGATCTGTAGAAGGAATCCATGAAATAACTTTGTAAATTACATTGCTAATGAAAACAAACAGACTTTTAAGAAGATGTCAAAAGATCTTCTCCCTTTCATTAATATCCAAAAGGAACCCCAGCATGAAATAATTCAAGAATTATGTTCCGTTTCCCCCTCCCCCCATGCCAAGGAAGCAGCACATGGACAGCCTGAAGATGGACTAACAAAAATTTTGAAAGGGCCGGTATCATTCCCTAAAGATGAGAACAAAAATTTTCCAGGAGTAGGCATTCTATAATACCGTAAAAGAGACTAAAAGTTCAAATGAAGAGTCGTCTGCCCACTCCCCTCAGCCATCATCCAAAAAAAGAATCCCTTATCCAAAGTAAAGGAGCGCAAGTGGCCTTTTTTATGTCCAAGGCCCAGCCATTTTCAAAAGCAAAATGCACCTTGGGATTTTATTAGAATCTCACATGTAGTCGCCACTATCCAGGACATTAAAGACTAAAATATCACTAATCATTGTGCTTTCTACTGCCAAATCTCACCACAAACGTGAGCAATCATGCATGTAAACAGGGCATAAGATGCAATATTGAATGGAATGCCAAGGCCCATGTCAGCAGAACGCTGATACATCTGGCAGGACAACTCTCCATTTGCAACATAAAACTGCAAAAAGAGTGGAAAGGATTGAGTAGAAGGCGAATAGCAACAACCAAGCAAGCATTTATATGCTAATGATTTACTGACTTGTGCAAACATGTGACAAGGTGGAAGTGCCATTAGTTTCAGATCAGAAGGATTCCAAGCAGAAAGTATAATCCGCCTGTCATCTGGATTATTTTTTATTTTTCCAATTACGTCCATCAATTGATCAAATCCTTGGCCAGTATAATCAGCATGCATGTCAGTATACCTGTATATCACAATAACAAGCAACCAAATAAAAACAACTAATTCTGTACCAATTATACAGGCAATAGTAGATTTATTAAAGATATCACCAACCTAGCACCAAAATGTCTCCACTGGAATCCATATATAGGCCCCAGGTCACCCTCTTCCCTCTCTGCCAAACCAATACTGAAACAGAGAAAAACTTGCATCAACCAAAACAAACACAGGTAGAAGAACAGAACACTGCAACTACCTGTCAAGGTAATCCCTTGATGCATTGCCATCCCATATATGAATCCCCTTTTCTTGTAATACCTGTAGAATGTACTAGCTCAATATGCAGCATTTCGAAGAACATCTCAAGATATAAATTACAGAAACCATGTTATTCAAAGGTGTCATTCAATGATATCTAGTGTTTAAGGGATCAATAAGTGTAACCAAATTCAATTAAGCTTTGAGGTAAGAGAACAAGAGAGTTACTTTAGCATTTGTTGAGCCACTAATGAACCACAAAAGTTCTTCAACAACACCTCGCCAAAATATTCTCTACAAAACCAGCCGCATTGGTCACATCTTTAAACAATAATGTAAACATGAGGTGATGCAAAGCAAAAGATAAGAAAGTCCGAATGATCCAAAAATCATGCCTTAGTGGTCAGCAATGGAAATGATTTTCGCAGATTGAACCTCATCTGCATACAGTAACATCATATACGCAATTACTTTAAGACATCCGTCTGCAGAGAAAACTAGCAAAAATTGGATAAAAATCTTGTACTAATTCTTCAATACCTGACTACCAAATTTTGACATAGTACCAGTCCCGGTCCTGTCATCTTTTGCCGTGCCATTTAAGATTATGTCTTCCACAAGTCTCAGATACTTGTGCTCCTCATGCCTATCAAAGATCATTTTAGGTAAAAAAGAGAATGTCTTACCTTCAATCTTAGCAATGTCCAAACTGTTGCCAGGAATTACGCCATTGGTCTGACTGATAGGTTCAACTCCTGAATTTCTCACACGGACATAAGTAGTAAAGGAGTGGCGGAGCTTGTTTTCAATAGATGGAAAAGACGAATACCAGGGCTGAAACACAGAGGAATCAATAGCTGGGATAAAAGTATCACATTCAATGTCAGCATCAATTTCAGTGATGTGGATAGCATCACATTCAGGAGCATTGAGGGATTCCCTACAGCATAAGTCAACGAATCAAAGAACTACATAGAATAAAACTGCAAATTACACAAGTAAAACAGAAAATCTACTCACTTCAAAATCTCGCCACCTCCAATAACAAACACTTTCTCAATTGACAGACAATAAGGAGATGCTGCTAACAGTTCCAAAGCAGATAGCAAGCTCCCACAGATTACAACATTCTCTGCAGTTGCAATGTCAAAACTACCCGACCGAGTCAGAACAACATTTAGGCGACCAGGAAGAGGACGGCGCTCCAAGGGAATACTTTCCCAGGTCTTTCTACCCATAATGACAGCATTCTTCTTGGTAGGATCAGATGTGGTCACAGTTATGTCCTTGAAAAACTTGAGGTCAGTTGGCAGCTTCCATGGTACTTTTCCATCCATGCCAATACCCATCTTACTAGTAGCAGCCACCACAACTTCGTAAGTACGGTGCGGATCAGAAGGTGCACCAGCATTGCCATTAGAAAGGGCCGTAGAGGATTCACCGGACATGACTGAAGAAGCGCCCCAATGGCCCACGAATGATAAACTGCGAGCAAAAACAGAAACCGAACTCTTCCCAAAGGGTAATAAACCCTGAGATCAGCAAGAGCAAGAAAATGAGTTCATAGCATAACTAATCAGCCAGATAAACTACACGCCCGAGAGTTCATCAAACTGATAACTAAATAAAGATTCCCGGAAGCCAATCTCCGCCGACCAGTTTAGTAAAAATGATGAGAAATTGTAGAATGAAGGAATAACTGTGCATAGAAAAAGACAGAGAACTAACCAAAAAAAATTCCAAACAAATAGGCGGGGAGCTTAAGGAAAATGGATCCTTAGTCAAAAGGGTAAAAGAAACCCCGATCTTTCTTGGTCCAGGTCAAAACCCACGATCAAATACAGAAATCAACAAACATTTTGTTTGGCAAAGCATTAAACAAGAAGAACGGAATGTACTATAAATCAATAAAATACAGAATAGAGAAAGAAAAAAACAAGGTATTCGTTTTTATCTCTGCAACCCACCAGAATTATCTGCACTAAAATATTAGTACTACCAATCTCGAAGTTATCAAATTATCCCTTCTCTAAGCTAAACAAATCAGCAAAGAAGAGGCCATTGTTAGAAAAAAAAAGCAAAGCATAAAACAAGTAAAACGGCAAAAAGCAAAAAGAAAAGGGGGGAAAAAACAAGAAAACACAATAAAAAACTAATCTTGAAGTTACCACTTAAGTAAAATCCTGTGTTTTTTCCTTAAATTAATAACAATGATGTGACATGAGCAAGACAACACGGGCATTATTAAAACATAAAACGAGCAAAAAATGGAAAAAAAAAAAAAGAAAAAGCTAAAAGAAGATCAGAAAATGCAGAGAGAAAAAGTACCAATCGGAGAGGGAAGCGTGAAATCACTGAAATGAAGGGAATCTTGGAACAGTTTGGGTGAAGAGAATGTTAGAAATTTTGGAGGAAAGAAGAGTGTGAAAGTGAAAAGGGGTCACTGTTTCTTCAACATTTTGGCGAATTGAAGTGGAAAAGCTAATTTTGGTCAGCCAAAGGAACCAACTAATGGTTGACCGAGGCAAGTAAACTTAGGCTGTGGGGGCGGGGGCAGAAGTGGGTGGCGTGGGGTGGGGCTGTGTGGCTTGATTGGTTGGTGGGTGGGTTTTGAAGGAGGGAGTTCTGAGTAGTGAGTAGGAAAAGCAGGCAGGGGCCAGGGAGGGAAAGAAGAAAGAGAAATGGAGGAGTTTTGGACAGATGGTCCAAGACTGTGACCCCACGACAATGCCACAAGAATAGCAAAAGTTTAAAAGCAAAAGCTTGTGTAGGCTCAGTCTATATGGGCTCACCTGTAGAGCGAATGGTAAAAAATTTGCTGCATCATTTGTTTGAGTAGAATAACGGTGAGAAATTCATTAGAAATGCAAAATAATAGAACAAATAAGACATTATTGATACTTGAGTAAATGGCCAATTTCATCCCTAAATATTTTTTTTTTGTTGATGCCAATTTAGTCTTGAATTTTTATTTCTGATTAATTTGATACTTAAACTTATTTTATAGTTTCAATTAAAGACCTCTACAGTGGCACCACTTCTTAAATATGATTCCTAATTAACTAACTAAATAGAGGTATTATAAAAACATCACTCATGAGATTGTAAAAAAAAAAAGTAAATCGTGTAAAAATTTGCTAGATAAAACTTTTAAATTATGTAAAAATCACCATATAAAACTTTTTAAAAGTTTAATCTTATGATTTTTTACACGATATACTTGATTTATTACAACCCCGTAAATGACGTTCTCAAAATATCCCTGTTTAGTTGGTCAATTAAAAGTCAGATCAATTTTAGGGGATGGTGTTGGTACGTAGATCCTTAATTGGAACTGCAAAATAAGCTCACGTATTAAATTGACAAGGAATAAATGTTCGAGACGACTAAATAGGCACTAATGAAAAAGTTTAGATACAAAATTAGTCATTTTCCCTTGATACATAGGGGGAGGAATGAATTGAATGATTCATGTATAATTTTTCTATAAAAAATCCAAGAAAATGCAATCCAGACAAAAATTTGTGTAGTACATAGCAAGAAATAGAAATTTGCAGCAATTTTGTAGTAAATCTAATTTCATTCATATGATCAAAGACCTAATTTCAACCATGGTTTTTTATACTAAAGCTAATCTCTTGTAAATGCATCGAAGACCTAATGCACATCATCAAATTTTGTTCAAAAACAAATTTTCTACTTTACAAATTTACAACACAATGAAAAGTGAATAAAAGCAGGCGAAAATACCTCAAAAGAACAGCAAAACAAAAAAAAAAGATTAATCAAAAAAAGTGAAACTTGAAGAATCTCGATCCTCACCCAAATTTTTGGAAAATTTTCTGAGCAAACAAATTCTCAAGTGTCCCCTACAATGGTTTTGGTTCGAAGTCGAAGCAAATTTGATCGAAAGAAAATTGGAAAAACTCTCACAGCAAGAAAATTTTAAGAGAAAAAAATGGTGGTGGATTTTGAGCAAGGAGATTGATAAGGAGGGAGAGAGAGAGATTGACATGGAGGGAAATTGAGAAATTTGAAAAAGGGGAGAAGAAATGCTTCTGATTTTTTTTTCCCCCGGTTCTATGACCGCTAATCTAAAGATGCAAATGCATCGTGTTGTCTGTCGGGGTATTGGAACTCGGAAGTTTTGAAACAATGAAAAACAGAAAACAAGGAAACAGAATAAAAAAGAAAAGTTCAGCAGATCTTGGTAGTCAAAGTCATCTCCTTTCTTGTTCTAGTAATCAAATGTAGCCATGGTTCAGTTTATCATCTTCTTCTCATCTCCTTCAGAGAAGGAATGAAGCGTTGGAATGCTCTGTTCGTGACTGAAGAAATTGTCCGGATCAAATTTTGTCTTCACCTGTACGAGTCTTTTGAAGTTGTCTTTGAAGTATTGACTGCCCCAAACACTTGCTTTCAGATAACTTGTCTTACCATTCAGCTTATCCACTCCCAAATCAAGATCCCTGTAATTCACATAAGCTTCTCTGGGGCACTTAGAAACATAAGGAGCTACGAAGTCATATAATTTTCTGATCCAACCAATGTGTTTATTTGTAGTTTTCTTGTCTCCACTTTGCCATGATGTCAGCCACTGGATCATAAATTTTCTCCCTTTTCTGTGAGGAAAAGGAGTTGCAGATTCTGGAATTTTTCCCATCATTCCACCATAAGCATTCCAAATTGAGAACGGAGAATCTTCTTGTAGAAACATTTTCCATATTCCTTCCATTGCATATTCTGGGATGGGCTCTTTCACAAAGTCTGACTTGGCTTTGAAGTAAGTCTTGTCAGAGAGTGGCTTCCCCTGAAGCAAAAATTCTGGCTTTATAGTTCCTGGGTAGCCGGCAATGTAAAGAACTGATTCAATCCAGCTCATTTCAAGACAATCTTTTTGTGTTAATCCCAACTCAGGAAAGCCTTTCTTCATGACTTTTAGCAGTCTGTCTGCCCTTCCAAGAAACAAAGCCTGGTAGGCAGTTTGTATTGTCTTCTTTCCTTTCTGACCAGTTGAATTCGCAGCACTTATGAGAACTCTGATGAAGAGATCTTCATCAAGAGTGTCAGCAACTTGTTGCCACCTGTATAGAAGTTTAGTTGCTCCTTGTTCCAAAGTTCTTGGAACAGTAAAAACTGTCACAGTTGCCGGTACCGGAACCAACTTTAGTTTCCAAGCAAGGAGGATTCCGAAGCTTCCTCCTCCGCCTCCTCGAATTGCCCAGAAAAGATCCTCTCCCATGGATGCACGATCAAGAATCCTCCCTGTTGCGTCAACTATTCGAGCATCCACCACATTATCTGCTCCAAGCCCGTATTTTCGCATCATTGGACCATATGCCCCTCCTGTTATGTGACCGCCAATTCCCAAGCTCGTACAAAGACCAGCTGGGAAACCACGGGTTCTGCTTTTCTGCGAAATTCTATAGTAAACTTCGCCAATTGTCGCACCTACTTGGACCCAGGCGCTGTTTTCTTCTATACTAATGTTGATGGATCGAAGTTTGGCAAGGTCAATCATCATAAACGGGGACTTTGTCGCAGAAGTATAAGAAACGCCTTCATAATCATGGCCTCCACTGCGACTCTGAGCAGAATGTTGAGCTCTTTCGCGCAAATAACTGCTGCTTGAACATGGAATTCTGTCAATGGTGTGAAAATAAGCTCAGGCTTAGGCCTAGATGGCGCCAAACACCTCAGGTTCATGGCAGTAGATTCCAGAACAGAGGCAAATGAAGCATTATCTGGGTATGAAATGCACCAGAAGAAGGTATGGAAAGATCAGTATGAAGATTTACACACTGGTAGAATTCATCCTCAATCGAATGATGTAAAGCAGCAGCCGATAATGAAGCTGATGGTAACAGAACTGTGAATAATGGGAGAAGCATGAGTGAGATTGAAGATGGCATTTCCTTGGTTGAGTTCTTGTTTTTGCCTTAATTTCTGTGCAGGCTAGCAAGTCATAGGTTGATTGAATATATATACACTAACAAGTAATGTGGTTTTGGCGAAGTTTGAAAAATACTTCAACTTGGAAGTTAGTGCTATAAGCCTATAATCATTTCAAACTGAAGAATAATTCAATAAAAGCTGCTTCCACCTAGAATTAAAGCACTATACGGTCAAGCTGCACCTTCTTTAGAATTCATTTGCTTTTGCAAGTCTTGCAATTCTTTGCCGTCTAAAGTTTTGGCGGCAGGGGCGGAGGGGCAGTTGCTCCTAAAGTTTTAAGCATTTTATTTACGAATTAATTTTGTATATACTAACCAGTAGGGATGCACATTGCATACTATATATTCAAGAATTGAAATTTAAATTTAAATTATAATCATAATTTTGAAAGGCATTCATCGCCCTCAAGCATATCCAAGTGTCCATGAAATACCCCTAAACGTTCTTTGGCAACGTTGGCGTTTCTGGACAAAAAACTTTCATAGATATTGTTGTTTGAAAAATCTTAGATTGTGTTTGGATTGTATTTTCCGTCATTTTTCATGGAAAAATTACTGTAGCAATTTGATATATACGAGAGAAAAATGTGATAGGGAAATGTGATCACGGAAAACGATAATATTTTCCGACGAAAACAAGCAATCCAAACAAGGCCTTATATTAATCGACAATATGATTTAAGCGATAGAAATAATGTAAGAAATCATTCATATAAAAAAAATTTCATGTTTATATTTATATCGTTTTTCAAAGTGAACTCTAGTTGTTGAGTTTCGAAGGGTAGTAAGTCGGGATGGTTACTTTCATACCTATTTGTTGTTTTGATTGGTTGTTGCGTTTCCAAGGGGCAATGAGTGGGGATTGAATCCTTTGCATCTATTTGTTGTTTTGATTGGTTGTTGAGTTTCCAACGGGCAACAAGTCAAGTTCCGTTTCCAACTTTCACAACTCCCGAGCCAGATGGCTCTTGACCTCCTTTTCTCCCTAATTCCTACCCAAAATCTTCTTCTAGACAAAAGTTCCACTCCACTTTGAGGCATGTCGTCACTCTCGTTCCGTCCTTCGCTTTAGTTCTTTTCAGACATGTTTTCCCCGCTGTTTCATTTTGCTGGATTCTTTTGTAATTACCTTTGAGGTGTG